GCCGCGGGTGGTTTTCCTGTTGTGAGCTTGGTTGTTCTTTCATTGTAAGAGGAGCTCAGGTCCTCACTGTCGCTGGGAATGGCCACTGTTCTCATCAGGGGAGCTCTGGTCTTCGCCTTGAGCATCACTTTCTGACTCCAGTACAAATCCTTCAGCCTGGTGACACAAATCTTTCACCCTGCCACAGCAGGCTTTCTAGCTTCCCTACTCAGTGACCTTTGGGTCTTCCTGGTGCAGATCCTTGATACACACAAGCATAATACATTCCCATGGGCTCTGACCTCTGGCTGGACTCTTGGAGGACATTGCCTTGGTCTCTAGGTCTTTGGCTGGACTTGTGAGGGACATTACTGTGGGATCCAGGCCCTTGGCTGGATTCCTTGGGTCTCTAGTGTGTGGCCAGATCTCTTGCACCCCTCTGCATTTGACTTTTTCGGTTGACTATTATAAAATAATCCTATAAATTGTGTGTTCTGTATTAAGTCTATTTCCTTTGCAAACACTTACTACAACAGAATTCTTGAGAAGGTCAGAAATATAATCTGATGTGCTTAAGGTTAATAGAGCCTAGTTAACAGCGTTGTATAGAAAATAGTTGTGGAAAGAAAAATTTAAAAATGCCTGCAGAGCTCCCAAGTTATCTTGGATGGCATATAATTATTCTTATACATTGAACCTTTCACATGAGTAGCTTGTGGAGACAGTCCTGAGTGTAATACTCTTGATGGTCACCAAACTAATGCCCAAAAAACATGCAAGGTTTTTTTTTTTTTTTTTTTTTTTTTTTTTTTTTTTTTTTTTGCATATACCCTGTCCTTTTTTCCTCCCTGCCAAAGCTGCTTTTTCAGGTTCATTAAGTGTGCCGGCACATTTAACACGTTCAAGCATACCTAGCAAAGCAGCTTTTATTGTATATTTTGTGTCACCAGCTGGTACATACTATACATTTGGCAATGAGCTTGACTGAGTCACCAATCAACAAGCGTATTCTCCTGGGAAAAATGTGTTTTCAGTTATTGAGAATTTGCATTTTCTACTAATAGAGGCTCCATCACTGTGACAAGTTAATAAATTATGCAGGGTGAAAGTATTAGTAGCTTGTTAGTCATACTGCTAAATGTATGCTTGCTTTCTTGAAAACTTATAATTAATAATATTTCAAAGCTGTAGGTTAGGATTTTATAATATGAACCCTGAGGTTTAATGAGTTAAATGACTTAATCCACAACACTGAGATAATTTAAATCCAAGAACTTTGCAAAATACATTTTTCCCCCAAATGATTAAAATACTAAGATTCAAAAGTACAGTAAAACTGCTATTCTTTCTGGTGTGAGAAACTGAAAGTGCAAATAAGGATCAAAATGTAGAATAGATAATGTGAAATAGGAAGATAAGGCCCAAAGGGGAAGGGGAAGTGGGAGGGAGTAGAGGACGGGAAAGGAATAAATATGAGAAAATGAAAACAAACAGACACAAAAAATCCCCTGATATTCTTTTTGTTTTGTTTTGTTTTTTGAGACAGGGTCTCACTATGTAGTTGAGACTGAACTGGAACTATGTAGCCCAGGTTGGTCTCAAACTCACAGCGATCCTCCTGCCTCCTGAGTGCTGGGATTACAGGTGTGCGCCACCACACCCAGTGGCAAAGCCTGATATTCTTAAAGTTTTACTTTTTGTAGGAGAACAAAGATTTTCCAAAAGAGCTGGTTAAGAGTAATATGACAGCATCATGTGACAATTGTATTTTAGAAATTAAACCTCACTCTGACCATATATTTAAGCACTGCTTTTCCAAAGGTTTTATGTGAGTGGTTTGGGCTGAAGTAGAACGGAAGGCTAACATTTGTACCTAACTAAAAGGTATGCAGTGGTGTGTGGACAGATTCTTGTTGTGGGCATTGTTATAGTTCGATATGTGAATGTCCCCAGAAGGGCCATATGTTGAAAGGCTTGTTCTCCAGCGTGTGGTGCTACTGGGTGGGGGTGGAATCTTTAAAAGGTGGGCCCTGCTTTGTTTGGGAAAAGTTAGGTCACTGGGGAGATGTTCTCGGAGGTGATATTGGAACTCTGTTCCTTCCTGTGTCTCTGTCTTTGCTTCCTGGCTGCTGTGAAGTGAACAGCCCTTCCATCCCACAAGCTCCCATCTTGATGGACTGTGCTACCACAGGGCCAAAGCAACAGAAATGAGTCAAGATAAGCCTTTCTTTCTCTTAAGTTGACTATCTCAGGTATTTTGTCACAGTAATGGAAAACTGTTGCAGCCATGTTTGGTGTTTTATCTCCACCATACTATCCATCCTTATCTCATCCTGGAGCACTACCTTCTTCTAACATGTGGTCCAGGGCAGGAAATTTTGCCATTTCCATTGCAAATGGTTAGCCAAGATAATCAACTCTGGAAGAGTCCATGGGGATCAAGAATGTGGGCATGGACATCTCATTTTTTTTTCTTAAAACATCCAGTTCTAGCATTTGTTCCTTCGTGTGTTCAAGACCTCAGCAGGGAGCTCTTTAGATGATTATGGCACAGCTTAGAAACTTGGATTGCTGTTTGTTCCTGTTGTACTTAGAATCATTACCACTAAGTTTCAGGAAACCTGTTCACCACCTAACTCATGACTCTCATGTAATAACTTTGCAGACTTAATTCTAAATGCCTTCCTTTCTTTTCTAGATTTCCTTCATTGAACTTTTAAAGTCTGTGCCCATTAATGCTTTACTTTTCTGAGAGTACAGAGCTATAACTATATGTTGACTAGCACTGAATCAGCAAACGAGTTCCAGACCTTGCAAAAGACCTTTTCACCGTATTTCTCTATGACCAGGTAGTTCTTTGAAAACTGTAATCATAAGGTCAGAGGCATCTTGAAATGCATATAGTTCCTCATTTTAGCAGATAAGGAAAATAAGCAGCTGGGAGAATTCAAATGATTGTTGAAAATTATAGAGCTTATTAGTAGTCAGGCTATGACTAAACCTAGCTCTTCTGGCTTCTAGTACATTGTTTTTATTTTTAATTTTTTTCGCTGTATAGTAGATTCCTATGTTATTTTCGCTAGACATTTGAATCAAAAGGTATTGTCAAGTATTATAGAAGGTCCAAAGCTGAGCACAAATTTAAATACAAACTTTGCACAGCGTTCTTGGAAACAAATCAGCTTTATATTTTCAGGGGAGATGGCCTATCCCTGAAGCAAGAACATAGCTGTCTTTATCCTTAGCAATACAGGGACTTCAGGGGTCAGGCATCTTACTCTAGGTAGGAAACCACGCACTGCCTACTGTGTATGTAGGGGGATAGGGAATTTAAAGAACTCTAATATGGAAGGGGCATGCAGCACTTGCCCATTTAACAGCTTATCTCGTTTAATAGTATTTTTGTTCTAAACTCTTGCCAAGTGGTACATTTATTGATTTTTAAAATTAAATGTTCTTGTTTTTCAAAAGCTTTTTTGCTCATTCTGTATTTAGTTTCATTTCCAATACAGGCTATTTTCTTGGTGTTTATTCTGTGTCTATTTTGTTTATCTACATCTTTCAGGCCAGTGGCCCTGATCTCCTGTGAAGTGGTCCTGGTGTCCTTGAGGTCCCTTAGGACTCCTTTTTTGTCATCTCCAACCAGGTCTTTTTCTATCACCAAAAGGAATATATTTTTGAGCGGTTAATCAACAGGTGACGGCCTTTATTTGCCCCTTTTCCATCTAAATTCCCTATTCTCTTCCTAATTCCTTTGTGACTCACAATACAACAGATGCTCTTCCCTTTCCTTACCTTACAAACACAGAGCTGGTTCACCTCCCTTGCTAGTTAACACAATGTTATTCTGTCATTCACTTGCAACATATTTTTCTTTTCTGGTGCTAAGCATCAAACCCAGGGTGTTGCTCCGGTTAAACTTGTCCTCTATTGTGGACCTACACCCTCACTACCTTCTCCAATATCTTCAGAGATTGGCTCTTTTCTTTTTTCTGTGATTCTTATAGTAAGTCGAACCTGTCACATATGATACCCATGCAGCCTCCTAACTGTAGTCACAGATTTATTCATTCCAACACCTCCCTCATATCTACCAAAGTGGTTTTACTTACGTGTTTCAAATAGACTGGATTAATACTTATTGAGAACTTACTATGTGCCTGGGGTACATTATCTCCATTAATCTGAAACATTCTTACGTGAAATATGTTTTTCATCACTTGTGTTATTATCAGCAAACATATATAGGGCACTTACTATGTGCAAGACATGCATTAAGTATATTTGAATTACTCTAATTTTTATAAGGACCTTCTGAGTGAGAATATTATGAAGTCCACTTACAGATGGGATTGAAGATTTAGAGAGGAAGTAACCTGATCACACAATTCGCAAGTGGATCTAAGCCCAAGCTCAAAGCCATCACAATACATCGAATCTCTAGTATTACAGAGGGAGTGTCAGCACGTCAGAGCCTATTTAGTTTTCTACCCTTCTCCTAAAACTTCTTATAGTCTCATCTTTCAGCAAAAAGCAGACATCCTTAATTCTTACTCTATTCTTTACTTACTATCCCTCGAAGGTTGATAGTCTTCAGGATTTTCTCTTTGGTCTTTCTATTGACTCAAAGCCATTGGCTCTTCACCATTTGGGGCATGGCCTCCTTCTGAGTATTTGATAAAAGTTTGAACTTTCTCTCCAAAAAACCCGAACATAGGTATTACATGGGAACATGTGCTCTTACAACTAAAAATAAGTTCTAGGTGGGTGAAAACTCTAAAGGTAAAACAAAACAACAGAACGAAGAGTAAAATACAGGAAAATTTACTTCACATACTCTTGAGCTGAGGAAAGCTTTTCTAAGTGTGCCATCAATTCCAGAAGCCACAAGGAAAGGGACAGACGGGTTTGATTTATATAAAACTTTAAATTCTCTACCAGGTTATTTCTGGCAGTAACATTCAAGGAGAGTACTGTTTGCAAAGCAGAAAATCTTTCTGTCATGGTAACTGTTTTCTTACCTCCAGTGACAATCACATTTGCTTTTACACAGTAGCAAAACGTATTTGCTCCTTTTGGCATGGCAAACTCTCTGACAGGCCTGAGAAACACAAATTAGATGTAAAAGGTATATATTTTTCTTTAGAATGCTAATTCCAACTTCTAAATAAATAATATTCAGCAAGCTCATTTCTAAATTGCTTGTAAATGCGTTTTCCCAGAGAAAATATTGTAAATAGTGATTAAGGGCTCACTGACCCACAGAATCTACTTACTTTACGCTGTGGTTTGGGTAAGTGTTCTCCAGAGGTCTATGAGGTAAAAGTTTGTTTCCCGGCCCATGGAGCTATTGGGAAATGGTAGAAACTTAAGCCTAGTGGGAGATCGGCTGATCACTGGGGACGTGTCCTTGAAGGGGATTGTGGGACCCCGGCCCCCTTTTCTACCTCTCTTTGCTTTCTAGCTGTTATGAGGGGAATAGTTTGCTCTGCCATGTACCTCCCCCTCTCAATGTGCCGCCCGGCCACAGGACCAAAGGCAACAAGGCCAACTAATCATAGACTCAAAACACTGAGCCAAAAGAAAACATTTTCTTTTAACATCGATTTATCAGGTATTTATTTCAGTAAATGAAAATGAACTAACACATACCTAAAAATATAAAAACCATTCTTTTTTCCCCATTTAGTTTACTGGTATATTTAAAGCAAACAATACAGTTGCATTCATCATTGAGATCTTGTACCTTTACATGATATAACTTGGTTCTTGTTTTCTCCCCATACCCCTGACCTCCCTTCATCCTCTTCACCCTTCCCTATTTACAAAGACTTTGCTTCCATTTTTCCCCTTTTCACATTTTTCTTTTCTCTTATTTCCTTTCCCACTCCCCTTTAGCCATTTTCTTCCTATTTCACACTATCAATTATACCATTTGAACCTTATTTACACACCAGAGAAATTATTTGGCACTTACTCAAGTGTGCCCTATTTATTTCACTTAAGAGTATCGCCTCAATGTGCATCCATTTAGCTATGAATGTCTCTAGTTTCTCATTCTTTATGGGTGAGTAGTACTCCATTTTATAGAAGAACCACATCTTCTTTATCCAGTCTCAAGGTGATGGGCATTTGGGTTGTTTCCAAGTTTTAGCTATTACAAATTGTGCCTCTATAAACATGGGTGAGTATATATCACGGTGGAATGATTCTTTTAATTCTTTTGGAAAGATACCCAGGAAAGGGATAGTTGGGTCAAATGGAACCTCTAATCCTAGTTCTTTGAGGTATCTCCACATTGATTTCCACAGTGGTTGCACCAATCTGCACTCCCACCAAAACTGGAGAAGGGTTCCTTTCTCCCCACAACCCTGCCAACATTTGTTATTGGTTGACTTCTTGATAGCAGTCATTCTTTCTGGGGTGAGGTGGAATCTCAGTGTTGTTTTCATCTGCATCTCTCGAATGACCAGTGATGTGGAACATTTTTTCATATATTTATTTGAGGCTTTTACTTGTTTGTCTGAGAAATGTCTGTTCATTTCAAATGCCCATTTTTGAATTGGGTCTTTATATTTGGGGCATCTGATTTTAAAAACCATTCTTAGTTTGCTGATTTTATAGAAACTGATCGTGAGGCCATTTTTGGTTAATCATTTCATACGATGTCAGAACACGAAGCCCAGACCATTCAGGCCTATGACGGTTCTACTTCATCTCTTCAGAATTCAATTTCTGTTTTTTGTTTTTCCTAAAACTTTTCAGTCTATTTGTTAGTTCTTAGCAAAGTGACTAATACATATTGAGTAGAATCTTTGCGAGGCTTGAAACCAGGCACTTTTCATGAGTTAAGTAATTTTTGTAAGACTCTAAGGTAGGTATATTCATTCCCATTCACAAATGGAAAAATTGAAGCTAAAAAGAGCTGATAGTCACATGTTCAGTGGTCACAGAGATCTTATTAACCAGTCTATCTAACTTCACAGCAATCTTACAGAAGAGTACTATTCCCCTTTCAATATAATAACCTGTGTGGAGGATGGGGAACTAGTGAGTGCAGCGTAATGTAACTTAGTTGTTTATCTCTTGAAAACTATCCAGCTATAAAAGGGTTCAATATTTAGTTTCTATGTGACAACAGGCCTGTACATATTCTACATGCGTAATTAATTACAGATGTTCATTTTCCCGCTGGTACAAAACTCCAAAGCTGAGATTTCCATACAAAATTATCACCAGAATGGTAATCACTTCTGAAATATAAATTTTATGAGAAAAATTTGTTTCCTGCCTTTTTTGGAGCTGTGCTGGTTCCTATTTTAAAAGCTGGCCAATTATGTGTTTGTATAAGTGCAGTTTCATCCGGCCCAACTTAAGACTCATTATAGAAAAATGCAGAAATAGGAAGATATTGAATCTGGGAATGGAGGGAACCCAACTGGCACTCTATTGAGCTGACTCTCCAATGGCTGGGATGCTTCAGGAAAAGCACGATAACACTAGATCACTTGAGAAACCTCTTTAGCCTTTAGATTTAGCAGGAGAGTGGTCCAAGTGAGGAGGTAGCTGAGAAGCTGAGCCAGGGTCTGAACAGATCAATGATCTCTATTTGCTGAGGTTGTCTGAGTATTTTTAACTCACAGTTTCTGACTGTCAGCTGATTCTATCACCAACTAAATTCGAAGAGCTAGGAAGCCAAGATTTTGTCTCAAAAGATAAGCTCCTGACTGTTGCAAAATAGATGTTCTCTGGAGTGAAGACCAGAACGCTCTGGGTAGAAAATGAAAACTTCTAGGTAATTCAAGTATTTGTAACTACTGAGTACTAAACCTATAGAACAATGCAAAGCGTAGGAATTTAAATTCTTTACAACATCATTACATAAATTAAAAATACAGTCAAACATGCATTTTGAAGAAACAAACAAAAATATGCATTAAACCCAATAGATTGGTTGCCTCTGTGTGTGTGTGTGTGTGTGTGCGTGCACGCGCACACTTGTGTGAATGGAAGGTAGTGCAAGGATAAAAATAAAAGAAGAGAGAGAGTGTGAGATATGTGATTAGCTCAACTCTGCCCTTGAAATTTCCTCACCAGAAAAGAAATCCAATTGGCCTAATTGTGCTAGTTGCAGGGCATACTTATTTTTTCTGACAAAAAGAAGTTATCTGGACTGAGTGAGGCTTACAAAAAAAGAAAATCAAACATATCTACCTCATTTAAAACAACCCAGAAAAATTCACAACTTGACTGGCAGTCAGATCCCAACACTTGGAAAAAGGAAATACTGGCACCATTATCTGTTCCCAAAGGAAAATGTAATTCCTTTTCTTTCCTTCAATGTTGCAGTTTTTATTATTAATATGGAGTTTGGCAATACATGGAAATCAAAGTCTTTAAAAATCCACCCTTCATAAAGGAGAGTAAATTGCTACATCATTTTATAGTTTTTAAAGCATCATCACTCCTTAGCATATTTGCTAACTACAAAAATCCTGTGTGGTAAGAAAGTTAAGACTATTTCCATTCATAAATGATGTTACTGAAGTCCATATAACTTAAGCAACATATCCAAGACCATGTGTCCAATACATAATTGGTAGAAAAATCACCGAATCTATTCTTGCATAGTCTTACTAAGTAACAACTAGAAGCCTGGCAGGCACCTGTCCTTTTCCTAGATGGTTGTATGAGGAAATGGTCACCTCATGCAGGTCTTTGCTCAAAAACAATGTCCTTATATCAGGCTTTCCTGACCATCATATCTAAAATATTGCCTCCCATCATTCTCCATCTGTGACACTAACCTTACATAATTTCCGTCATATACTCACTTAAATGTATGTTATTTACCTAAGGGTTTATTATCTATTTCTCCTATGGGAGCTTGATGAAAACAGAGATGTCTGCTGTATACCATTCTATCACTACTTGGAACAGTTTTTTTAGGGTTTGTAATAAGTATGCAGTAAATATGGTTGAGAATATAAAAAGCAAAACAAATCCCTCTCGTTTATTCCTCTCACCCACTAGTTCATCAATTCTTGTAACTTATACAAGAACCTGTCCTCTCTGCATTCCTATTACCATTGGTTAAGTTCAAACCCTCATCACTTCTCCTCCAAAGTACTGCCATATCTTCTTAATTGGTCTCCTTTTCTGCTTGAATTTCCTCAATCTAGTCTCTAATTTGCTGCTAGACTGATCTATCAAAGGACATATTTTCATCACTTTCCTGTTTAAAATATTCTATGGCTTCCTATACACTCCAGATTAAAATCCCAACATTTTAGTATGTCATACAAATCTTTTCATGTTTGGCTTGTTTAGCCTCATCTTTCCCAACTCTTCTTCCCTTGATACACCAATATGTTCAAACCACTTAACAGTTTCTAGAACTACTTGTCTTCTAGAACTTCCATACTTTGCAAATGCCACTCTTTAATGTATCCATTTGTCTATTTCACTCTCACACAATCATTTTACCCAGCTAACTCACATCCGTTCTTCAGAACTCAGCATGCATGACATCTCCTTTAGGAAGCCTTCCCCAGCTTTTCTTTCCCTACAGCCCTACCTTAAGATGCTTTCAGCATTCTCTCCTGCTGCCATATGCCTTTCTTACATGTACATCATGGTGCTTATCACTCTCTTTGGAAATCGTGTATTTGTTATCTCACTTATTAGACTCAAGATACAAGACCTAGTCTTACCTTTAATATTCTAGCACCTCGTGCAATGATTCAAACATAGTAACTCATTAATAAGAATTTGCTAAACCTACGTATATTCACATTACTGCTTTGGAGCTTCTTCTGGAGATATCTATGTAGTCTTATTCAACTTTGGAACAGTCAGAAAGAGAATGTTGTATATATTAATAAATAATCTTGGTGTCTTGCAAATACAACATCATTAAAATGTACTAAATATAAACTCTGAGGTATGAAAGGAACTCCTAATTCAGTCTTGAAAGAGAGTTGGTGGGAAGGGTCAGAGAAATTCACTGGAGTAGGTATTACCTCATCCTTAAAGGACCACGGAGGGTGGAGAAGGGGAGAAGAGAATGAGGATGATACGTCAGGCCCTAAATATGTACAA